GGGCTCCAGTTTCATCCATCTCATTAGAACTGATTCAAATGAATTCTTTTTAATGGCTGAGTAATATTCCATGGTGTATATGTACCACAGCTTCCTCATCCATTCGTCTGCTGATGGGCATCTAGGTTGCTTCCATGTCCTGGCTATTATAAACAGTGCTGAGATGAACATTGGGGTGCACGTGTCTCTTTCAGATCTGGTCTCCTCAGTGTGTATGCCTAGAAGTGGTATTGCTGGGTCATAACTTTTGAGGACAGCATTTTTTCACAGTTGTATTACTCTCCCCGCCCCCCAACCCAACCCCGATCTCCATCCCTTAGATCAGTGCATAGTAAATGCTCACAGAAGCTTTTGTCAGATCCATCCAAGAAGACTGTTCTTAGAGGCAATACAGGCAGTTCTGAAATATATGGTATGGTTTCTGTTAAAGATGTTAACATGTGGCTGATATCAGAACAGAGCCAAGCAAAGCAGTAATTGTTCCAGGTATTCGTAGAAAACTCTGACCTCCATTTTTTTTCATCTTTCCATTCCCAGAACAATTGCAGTTCATTTCTAGTAATAGAAAATTAGTGCTAACTGACCCTTCCTTCTTCAATGGAGAACACAGTTGTCTCAGCAAAGAAAATGGGCTGCATAGAGCTCAGAACATCTTTGTGTGTGTGTAAGTGTGTATGTGTGTGTTGGGACTTTATGCCATGACTTTTTTTTGTTTTTTTTTTTTTAGTTGGAGGCTAACTACTTTACAATATTGTAGTGGTTTTTGTCATATATTGACAAGAATCAGCCATGGATTTACATGAGTTCCCCATCCTGAACCCCCCTCCCACCTCCCTCTCCACCCCATCCCTCTGGGTCTTCCCAGGGCACCAGGCCCGAGCACTTGTCTCATGCATCCAACCTGGGCTGGTGATGTTTCATTATAGATAATATACATGCTGTTCTTTCAAAACATCCCACCCTCACCTTCTCCCACAGAGTCTAAAAGTCTGTTCTGTATATCTGTGCCTCTTTTTCTGTTTTGTTTATAGGGTTATCCTTACCATCTTTTTAAATTCCATATATATGTGTTAGTATACTGTATTGGTCTTTATCTTTCTGGCTTACTTCACTCTATATAATGGGCTCCAATTCATCCATCTCATTAGAACTGATTCAAATGAATTCTTTTTAATGGCTGAGTAATATTCCATGGTGTATATGTACCACAGCTTCCTTTTCCATTAGTCTGCTGATGGGCATCTAGGTTGCTTCCATGTCCTGGCTATTATAAACAGTGCTGCGATGAACATTGGGGTACACATGTCTCTTTCAGATGTGGTTTCCTTGGTGTGTATGCCCAGGAGTGGGATTGCTGGGTCATGTGGCCGTTCTATTTCCAGTTTTTTAAGGAATCTTAAGAAGAAACTGCCCTGAGACAGGTGAAGACACAGGTGTGACTCATCATAGCAACCATCTCCACAGATTTTCACAGTTAAAATAAGGACATTGGAAAGTTCATTGGAAATCAGAGCATTTAAGAATTCAATCTTCATGCCATTAAGGCACATTTACACCTATAGGAGGTAAAATCCTTAAAATTGTGTCCCCCTCTCTCCTGTCTCTTCAGATACCAATTTGTATAAGTGTCATGGGCCTCAGTTACCAGAAATATTATTACACCTGCTAAGTTGCTACTGCAATCACAACTCTTGGAACCACGGGGAGTTTTGTGTGCCCCAGTGCACTAGAAATAGATGATTTTGTCTTCCTGTGTGACAGACTACCAAAGGCATGCTTTCACTCTGCCTAATGATGAGCTACCCTAGAGGAGCAGCATGTGGGACCTTTTAGCATTCACAGATCCCAACTTGTGAATCAGAATCCCAGGTGCCTCTAAAGAGTTTGATATCCACAGCCTCAGAGGAGATTTGAGTATTTGTTTAACCTGTGGATCCTGGTTTTCTGAGAAAAATAATGAGTCTGGGAGCAGGTTTCAGTTTTTACTAGCTTAGTTACAAGTGTTTCAACCTTTTTTATGGAAGATGGGGTAGCCAACTCTCCTTCCAATACTTTATTAGAATTAGCAATAAATGCAATCAGATAATATAAAGGCAATCATTTGTGAGTTAAATTGCATGGAGATACAAGTTATGTTCCTGTTAGGACTTCCCCTTGGCTCTGATTTGACTTTACCACGTTCTGTGAGCATTTGGTGAGTCACTTATTCTCTCTAGGGCTCTGTTCCCTGAGTTATAACTGGATAATCTTCTATGCCTTTCAAGTTCCATCTTGATATGGCTCTAAAATTCTCTCATCTTCTTATATTTGGAAAAACACCATCCTCCATCCCCTGAGTGTATTGGATGCCTCTCATCATTCTAACAGCTTCTGAATCTCAGCTGCTTCAAAAAGGCACACAGATAAAAACACTTTACAATAACCTTATGCAATAACCATGGGAGACAGACAGGCTGGGCCACATAGAGTGATTTGAAAAGATAAAAAGCCCCTATAAAAATGAAACATTCTGTTATGTAGAATCGAGGGATCCAAGAATTAAAACAAACAAACAAACCTTGAAGGGCCATGTTTAATGATTTCATAATCATAAATTGTGTGCATGGTTGTAGGATAAAATCCTAAATAGGATACAACCACCACAAGATGTTTGCCATTCTGAATGAAGTCTTACATGTCCAGTAGCCAGAATTATCCCCTCTTAAAAAGGATTTAAGGAAAACTATTATAAATATTATAAAATCTGTTCTTAAATAACTATCATTACCAATGATTCATCAGTACGTTCAGTGTATGTAGCAATTCCTCACCAGTCAACAGAACACATGCCACACTCTTCTCAAACTTTAATACTAATTAACATTCCTTTGGTAAAATAGGCAAGACAAAGGAAAAGTTTCCTTAAATTTTTAAAAAGTTAACCCCATCTTCAAGTACACATTTTGGCAAATCTAAAATCTTAATCACACGAATAGAACTAAAAATTATTATAAAAAATTTGCTTTAGGTGCCACGTTAAGTTTTTTCTCAGACCATAACTCCTCTCTGCCTTACAGGGCACCAAAGGGAGGATGGCGCCAATGGGGAAGTCAAGTCTAGAATTCTCTGTGCAAAACTCAGTTCAGCCGCGCAGTCGTGTCCGACTCTATGACGCCATGGACTGCAGAACGCCAGGCTTCCCTGTTCATCAGCAACTCCTGGAGCTTACTCAAACTCATATCCATCGAGTCGGTGATGCCATCCGACCATCTCATCCTCTGTCGTCCCCTTCTCCTCCCTTTAATTTTTTCCAGCATCAAGGTTTTTTACAATGAGTCAGTTTTTCGAATCACGTGGCCAAAGTATTGGAGTTTCAGCATCAGTCCTTCCAATGAATATTCAGGACTGATTTCAGGACTGACTTCCTGAATCTATACTCAATCAATAATTTGTTTCTGAGTCACCGATACTACTTGTGAGTTCTTTTGTCTTGTTATTCTTTACAAGGAATAAAAATAAGATAATTCTAAACAGACATGTAAAAACTAAGATATTAATAATCTTTTAGGAAAAATACTCAAATATAGCAATAACAATCAAAAAAGATAGTAAACAGTCTTTGATACTATCCAAGATAAGCCAGCCTGCTATCATGACTTTCTTGATTTCACATTCTAACCTCATTATCTGCTGCTAGATCCTATTTTTGGGGTTCTGTGTCCTCCCAACCACCAGCAATGTCTTCTAAACATCTTTAAATCAAGCATGAAGCAATACCACAAAATATGGAATTGTTTATTAAATACTATGTGCCAAGTAATGTGTTAGGCACAGGGAAATTAATAGAACCTAGCTTCTGCCTTGGAAAGTTTCATGGGGTATGAGACAGACAGATGGAGTTTACAAAATTGGCTATCATAATGCAATGAATGCTTCAATAGAGGTATGCACAAGATACCGTGGAAGCACAGGGAAAGGGGTACCTACATTGATATGCAACCAGAAAAACTTCATAAGCTAATTAATTGTAGAGTTTTAGGGGATGTGGAAAGAGAACTTTTCAGGTAAAAGGAACTGCAGACCATGCCATGAGAAAGCATGGCAAACATTTTGGAAACCACAATTTATTTCAAAGACTAGAGAGGAACAGTAGAGAAGGAAGTAGCTCTGGGAAGTCAAAGGCATAATTTAGAGAGTCTTAAGTGTCAGCTAATTTGGACTTTCTCTAAAAGTTAATAGAGGGCCACTGACAAATTCTAAGTAGGAGAATGACAAGATCAGATTAGCTTTTCTTAAAAAGACATTGAATTTTTTAAAAATACAGGATGGATTAGATGGAGACAAGACTAGCAGTCATTGAATCAAGCTATTTCAGTACATCTTAGCATAAATTGTTAAAGGGATGAATGAAGGAAGGGAGAACAAATGAAGGAAGCTTAACAGTAAAAAGTGGAGGGAGAGGACCACTTTCTGAGATTTTTAGTAGACAGACTCTACAGAAATGGCCAGCCAATTATAATTGAAGTAATCCTTCAGCAATCCAAGTCTCTGCCCCAACCAGTAATGCTGAAGCTGAAGTTCACTGGCTCTATGAAGACCTACAAGACCTTCTAAAACCAACACCAATAAACGATGTCCTTTTCATCATAGGGGACTAGAATGCAAAAGTAAGAAGTCAAGAGATACCTGGAGTAACAGACAAAATCTGGCCTTGGAGTACAGAATGAAGCAGGGCAAAGGCTAAAAGAGTTTTGCCAGGAGAATGCACTGGTCATACCAAACACCCTCTTCCAACAACACAAGAAAACAACTCTACACGTGGACATCACCAGATGATCAATACCAAAATCAGATTGATTACATTCTTTGCATCCAAAGATGGAAAAACTCTATACAGTCAGCAAAAACAAGACCAGGAGCTGACTGTGGCTCAGATCATAAACTCCTTATTGCCAAATTCAGACTTAGATTGAAAAAGTAGGGAAAACCACTAGACCATTCAGGTATGACCTAAATCAAATCCCTTATGATTATACACTGGAAGTGACAGATTTGAGGGATTAGATCTGATAGAATGCCTGAAGAACTGTGGACAGAGGTTCATGACATCATACAGTAGAATATGATCAAAACCATCCCCAAGAAAAGAAATGCAAAAAGGCAAAATGGCTGTCTGAGGAGGCCTTAAAAATAGCTGAGAAAAGAGAAGCTAAAGGCAAAGTATAAAAGGAAAGATATACCCATTTAAATGCAGAGTTCCAAAGAATTGCAAGGAGGGATAAGAAAGCCTTCCTCAGTGATCAATGCAAAGAAATAGAGGAAAACAATAGAATGGGAAAGACAAGAGATCTTTAAAGAAAATTAGAGATAGCAAGGGAATATTTCATGCAAAGATGGGCACAATAAAGGACAGAAATGGTATGGACCTAACAGGAACAGAAGATATTGAAAAGAGGTGGCAAGAATACATAGAAAAACTAGACAAAAAAGATCTTCAAGACACAGATAATCACGATGGTGTGATCTCTCACCTTGAGCCAGACACACTGGAATGGGGAGTCAAGTGGACCTTAGGAAGCATCACTACCAACAAAGCTGAGGGAGGTGATAAAATTCCAGTTGAGCTATTTCAAATTCTAAAAGATGACTCTGTGAAAGTACTGCACTCAATATGCCAGCAAATTAGGAAAACTCAGCAGTGGCCACAGAACTGGAAAAGGTTAGTTATCATTCCAGTTCCAAAGAAGGGCATTGCACTCATCTCACATGCTAGCAAAGTAGTGTTCAAAATTCTCCAAACCAGGCATTAACAGTACATGAACTGTGCACTTCCAGATGTTCAAGCTGGGTTTAGAACAGGCAGAGGAATCAGAGATCAAATTGCCAACATCCATTGCATCATAGAAAAAGCAAGAGAATTCCAGAAAAACATCTACTTTTGCTTTACTGATTATGCCAAAGCCTTTGACTGTGTGGATCACAACAAACTGCAGAAAATTCAAGAGATAGGAATACACCTTACCTGCCTCCTGAGAAATCTGTATGCATGTAAAGAAGCAACAGTTAGAACCAGACATGGAACAACAGACTGGCTCAGAATTGGCAAAGGAGTAGAGCAAGGCTGTATATTGTCACCCTGCTCATTTAACTTATATGCAGAGCACATCATGGGAAATGCCAGGCTGGATGAAGCAGAAGCTGAAATCAAGATTGCTGGGAGAAATATCCATAACCTCAGATATGCAGATGCCACCACCTTTGTGGCAGAAAGCAAAGAAGAGCTAAAGAACCTCTTGATGAAAGTGAAAGCGGAGAGTGAAAAAGTTGGCTTAAAGCTCAACATTCAAAAAGCTAAGGTCTTGGCACCCGGTCCCATCACTCCATGGCAAATAGATGGGGAAATAGTGGAAACAGTGGCTGACTTTATTTTGGGGGGCTCCAAAATCGCTGCAGATGGTGACTGTAGCCGTGAACTTAAAAGACACTTACTCCTTGGGAGAAAAGTTATGACCAACCTAGACAGCATATTAAAAACCAGAGACAATACTTTGCTGACAAAGTTCTGTCTAGTCAAAGCTATGGCTTTTCCAGTAGCCATATATGGATATGAGTTGGATTATAAAGAAGCCTGAGCACTGAAGAATTGATGCTTTTAACTGTGGTGTTGGAGAAGACGCTTGAGAAACTCACAGACTACAAGATCAAACCAGTCAATCCTAAAGGAAATCAGTCCTGAATATTCATTGGAAAGTCTGATGCTGAAGCTGAAACTCCCAACAGTTTGGCCACCTTCATCATATGCAAAGAACCAATTCCTTGGGAAAGACCCTGATGCTGGGAAAGATTGAAGGCAGGACGAGAAGGGGACAACAGAGGATGAGATGGTAGGATAGACTGATTTGATGGACATGCATTCCAGGAGTTACTGATGGACAGGGAAGCCTGGCGTGCAGCAGTCCATGGTGTCGCAAAGAGTCAGACACGACTGAGCGACTGAACTGAACTATAAGTGAATAGAAGGAAGGAGGCTAGTATGACTGCCAGGTTTCTAGCTGGGGCATCTGATGGCCTGAGACAAAAGTCACTGGTATCAAGACAACAACAACAACAACAAAAAAAAAAACAACTGATCTCATAGGGAAGGGAGATTATTGACTCAGCTTTGGCCATGAAGCATGAGGTACTTGGAGTTCATACCATGAAAATATGTATATGGTACTCAAGACAGAAGTCTACTGGAAGCACAGGTAATGTTTGGAAGTTGAAACCAAAGAAATCTTCTAAATGACTCTGAGACTGTAGAGTATAAGAGTATACCAGAGAAAAAATAATAAATATCCTTAAAAACATCAACATTTGGAGATTAGGAAGACACGGAGAGATAAACCAGGATCCCCCAGAGTGGTAGATGAAACAAGAGGGTTTCAAAAAAAAAAAATCAAGGATGCGTTTTCTCATCTGCCAAGTAGGTTGTCAGATAATGCTCGTAAAGTGTTTATCACAAAGCCTGTCCATAGAGCAGGATGATGATGGGCTTTGGACAAGACATATCCAAGATAGTAAGACTCTATGGCAATGTGAGGTTAGATGGTTTTGCTCACCTCTGTTCCCTTTCTCATTGGCAAGAACACTGGAGAGAAGAGACATTGATCATTGATATTCACAATGTCCATCAGTGAGGAATTAACCAGTTGAATTTCATCAAAATCAATTCAGGTCTACAAATAACATGTTAATGAAGAAAAATATATTTTCTTAATTTACTCATTTTAATTGGAGGCTAATTACTTCTTATAACTATAAATACTCCTCTGTAAGAACTTTTCAAAGCCATTTAAAATTAATTGAAAGGATCATATGACATGTAAACATCAGGAACTTGTATAGAGTTATTTGGGGAAGCAACAGTGCATAAAACTATTCAACAGAGTTCCATTTCCATCATTACTTGTGAAAAATAGTGAGCTTACTTTACACAATGAATACTAAATATAAGCAGAAGGGCTTCAATAGCAGTAAAAAGCAATCTGGGTTAAAGAATACATTTCCCGAAGACTATAAAAAGTCTGTAAGTTTGTTGTTGACATACTTTTCCTCACTGTCATCTGATGCTGTAAATAATAACATTTTCAGTTTCCTTTTTAAATCTATGGAAGTGTGCTGCAGTAACTCTAAGATGTTCTGACTGGCACAGACCCATATATCCCTAAACATATTTATATATTTGTAAAACCACAATCATAGTTCTTAAAGCTTATTAAAGGAAGCTGAGAAGTAGTATGAATGGTTTCTTTCCTCTTGATGACAGCAACCCAGGATGGACAGATGAGGAATAAATAATATTGTCAGGTATCAGTCCCCAATCATTTTGGTACCAGGGGTTGATTCCATGGAAGGCAATTTTCTGCCAGAGAGTAGAGGGGTGGTGGTGGTGTGGGGATGATTCAAGTGCATACATTTATTGATCTTGTTGAGCAGGATGCAGAGTTCAGGCAGTAATGTGAATGATGTAGAGCAGCTATAAATACAGATGAGGCTTCACTTACTTGCCTGCCAATTGCCTCCTGCTGCGCAGCCTGGTTACTGGCCCTGCTGTGCAGAACTGGTACTGATCTGTGGTCTTGGGGTTGGTGCACCTGAGATCATGGAGCAGCCTCATGCATCAAAGACTAAAGGAAGGTACCCATAGCAATTATTTTCATTAAATAATCAATTTCCAAAGTTTTCAGCAGTATTTCTTAATAAGTGAATTAAAAATGAAAATTTCAAATACTTAAAAGTACAAGCTTAATTTATAAAATTAAATTCAATAGACATAAAGTTACCCTATCAAGTTGCTATAAAAGTTTTAAATATTTTTATACTTATCTTTTCTCAGACCAGCAACAAAGAGTGTGTAGGTTGGTTGGTTCTAGATTACAGACCAAACTTTGAGTAGGATTGGTCTAGAAAACAATTTCTCTTGAAATATTCATGAGAATGAGAAGAGGATGGAACTCCAGTAACTTATTACATAATCATATTTTGTGACTCCCTTTCACCAAACTCATAGAAGATAATGTATAGACCAGAACACAAACCAGCATGTTCACTGTATACAGATTTAGCGCCTCTTCCCCAGATAGTGTTGGATAAATACTGACAACCCTCAAATCTTTAGGCTCTACTGTTCTATATGCCTGGTTATCATCTTGCTTCAGTTCTCATAATCTTCCTCCAGATAGATATAATAAAACTGATTTAATTTCTGCTTACAGTCACATTCCAATTTGACTTCTCTTACATAATACAAAAATTACCTTTGACTCAAGTTCTAGATGTTTCCAAATGTCAATCATATATTTACAAGTAATTTTTTGGTTTATAACCACAGATATGGTATATAGACACCCTCATTGTGGCAGAGTTTCTGGTGCAATTTTCTAAAGAATTTTTTAAGCAAAAAAGGGAAAAGGAAATGGAAAATTCATCTCTACTGCAGAGATTATAACAAGGCTACAGACCTATCAGAACCACCTCTTCTGGGACAAATTCTAGCTCCCTGTTTCAAATTGCCACACAAATGTCCCTTCCTATTTTTGTAATGACTATTTATTAATACATGTATCACATATGTTCACAATAGCAATGCATCTTGTTGGCATATGAGACAGAGGCATTATTTTTTAAGATCTTTTTAAAATATTTTGACTTTTGTTCCCCCTTCAGTAGTCATCATATAATGAAATGTTCCAGATTTCTTCCATGTAAATAACATTTCAGACATTCATTTTCTGAAAATAGTCCCTGAGATTCAGAAAATATTAAGAATATTGGCTATGACTTAAATCTGCTAAGTGTTCATTTGATATTCCCCACCCCCAACAATAAGTGGTTATAACACTGCTGACATTTATTTCTAAACTTGTATTTTTACAATGTTGTAGTTTTGTAGTTGTGCCAATTATAACTTCTACCCTTTTTTCATTTAATATTACCAAATATTTTCTTCATTAATTCAACTGGTTAATTCCTCACTAACAGACATTGTGAAAAAATATGTCAAATATAGATATCTCAAGTGATATCACCTACTATATGTTCATTTTTTTTTAACCAATTCTTATCTCAGAGCCTGATTTTTTTCTAAGTTCAAGAAAAAATGAAAATGTGTCTAGCACAGATTGGAAAACAATGAGCACAATACATTTTAGCTTTTCTAATATAGTTATCAGGACTTTGTTCTATGAATACTTAAAATATACAACTTTTAGGCATTTCCACATATCTATATCCCTGAAATATTCAGAAATAGACCTTTCTCCAAGCATAATTTGAGGATCTTTGTTTCTTTTATGCTTTTTATTTACTCTTTACAAACAGTTGCCAGTGAAAATGGACATGTGAATTATGAAACATGTCAGTGTGCCTACAAAGTTCAGCACCATAGGATAAAATAAAATAGACTTTTACTGGTCTTATATTGGAGAAAGTGAAAGTGTTAGTTGCTCAGTCATGCCCGACTCTTCATGACCCCATGGACTGCTGCCCATCAGGCTCCTCTGTCCATGGGATTTTCCAGGCAAGGATACTGGAGTGGGTAGTTATTTTCTTCTCCAGGGGATCTTCCCGACCCAGGGATCGAACTCAGGTCTCCTACACTGCAGGCAGATTCTTTACTGACTGAGCTACCAGGAAGCCCAAGGAAATGGCAACCCACTCCAGTATTTTGGCCAGGAAAACCCCATGGACAGAGGAGCCTGGAGGGCTGCAGTTCATGTGGTGGAAAAGAGTGAGACACGACTGAAGAGACTGAACAGGCACGTGCTTACCACAGACTACAAGGCTGCTGCATGATCCAGCCCCTGCCAAAGAGCAAAACTGCCTCCCACCTTTCTTCCCTTTGATTTTGCTGCAACCTCTCAACCCTATCAGCTTCTTGAGGACAACCAAACTTTTCCCACCTTGGGTATTTCTACTGTCATTTCCTCCACCAAGAATCTCTTTCCTCCTCCTCCTCCTCCACCACCAAATGATTAATTCTTACCATTTAGGTCTGGGTCTCCTGGGAGACACTGCCCCTTGACTTCTGTCTGAATTAACTGCCCCACTATTATTAAAGTCCTTTATAGCACCTATTACTATATATTATTCACTTAGTAACTTTTTTTCTCTTTCCTCATTTGTATATAAATTCCATTGGAGGTAGATATAATGTTTATATTGTCCATCATAAGATAGCAGAATGCCTGGCATAGGCTAGGCATTTTAACAAGTGAAGAGGAGGAAGGGAGGCCAAAGCTATGAGGGTAAGGGTGCATGCACTGAAAATCCCAGGCACCCAAAGACAAAAACCCAGTGAACACCATCATTAAAGGGACTGAGAAAAAAGTAGAAGCCTGCATAGAAAATTTAGGAAGACAGGGAATGGGATACCCAAAAGGATTTCTGGAGGGAAAGTAACCTAATCATATCCAGATAAACTGGATATCTACTGTATTAATGTATCAGAGGACTCCAGAAATACACTACACGATAACTATCTTAAGTAGAAGAAATTTTCCTTCTTACATAAGGTTGACCCTAGTAATGCTGCTTGAGTCAGTGTCTGCCTGGATTATCTGCACTCTAAATGCCAACTCTTTAAATTAAGCCTGTCAAGGGACAGTTTTGCCATAACATGCATAACAAACCTTTTAAGATTTATTTACACTCCATTCCTTTTCTCTGGCCAAATTAAATTCTCCTTTTCTAAGCTATTTTTGCCTCACTTCAGACTGTGGCATAATTTAATATGTCCTAAACAGTTACATGGAGACTGTGGTCCTCCTGATTTCCAAAAACTCCCAAATAATCTAAACATAAGAGGAATATTCTTAGGTTAGTCCAGATACCAGTATGTGAATCAGTCATAAGAATGACATGGTACGAAGATGCTATGAAGAGTTATAGGTTCACAGTAAGTCCTTTATTCAGTATCCCAAGAAAACACTTCCTTCCAGTAGGCAAATAGAAATATTCTTTTTATTAATCTGTCACATCAGAATATGCATGCTGAACCTCCACAGAAGTAAATATTCATTATATTAAGAGGCAGGGTTTCAAATGTGAAAACAGTTTCATCTGATTTGAAGACTTACCTAAGTAACTTGAGTGTCTGTACTCAAGTTGATTAAAGTTAGACATAAAAGGGCAGAATATAGACATAATAGAGATTTATTAAAGAGAACTATTTCTTAAAATAGTTTTAAAAGGTTTTTTTAAAACTGCTTTAAGTCAATTTTACAGAGAAAAAATACCTTTAATGATTGGCCTTGATGACTTAATAAAAACGTTCATTTCTGATCCAGCAGGATTCTTTTATCTAAACATATTTACATTTTTAGCAATCACCTGACAGTTTCCATGTCTGACTGGGTCAAAACATAATAGCCCAAGTATAGGAACTAGCCTATACAGACTTTGAACTTGAAAGGCTTGTAACAAGCTTAATTGCTTGCCGGAAATTTCTGTGACTAAAAATTGCATAGAAATGATGATGCATCACTGTTGTTTGGTTATTATTTATCTAGCATATTTAAAAGACTTGAAATCCTCATCCCAAGAAAAATCATACTTTAAATATGAGACTTATTTTGTGAAATACAAATATTGAATCATTTCATATACTTGAAGCTAATATATGTCAATCATACCTCAATTAAAAATAATAAATACACAAAATATATAGCTATTAAAAAGACAACAAAACTTTAAGTCAATAACTTAGGGGAAGAACATTGTCACTTTTTAACACAGAGCATGCTTTAAACAACATTCACACACTGAAAATTATATGTGCACAGAAATTTAAGTATACTATCCATTTTTAACATTTTTTAAAACAAATTACATAAGAAGATTCATTTTACATATAAAACAGCCTGTTCCATAACAGAATAAAAGGCAAATAAATTGTTACAATGTTAACAGGAGCCATGGTTGTATCCCTGAACTTTTAGGACACTTTTTAAGTTTGAGGATATACTTAAGATTGCCCTCTTTACTGGTATCCAGACATCCACAGGGATACTTGCCTCTGTTAAATATACTTGGTACATCATCATACCTTTCAATATAGTAATTTTTCTAGGTTGTTGTCATCACATTTGATCTATCATTGCAATGGCAATACTCTTGCTTTATTTTTTTTTAATCAGACTTCATTACAGCCTCAATCCACCATTCATGACCCTAATAAATCCAAGAAGAAAGAAGAGTTGAACTCCTCTAATTTTTATATATCTGGTATAAGTGGAATCAATGACTCCTTTCCAGACCTGCCGTCCTGTAAACAACCCTCTGCTCCTCTCGCTTTTGCTCACTTGTAGTTTTCCGCAGTGTTTCATCCTCCGTAAGGCTTTTGCTCAGCCTCTTAGTCTCCTTTACCTCCCAAATGTTGGCGTTAGCGTTTTAAACATGCTGACGAAGTCCCACCCACCACGATGAGTTCAAGGACACATGTTTTGCTGAGAAAAGTATTAATAACTGCTACATGGGCATTCTGTTCAGCTGGAGGAGAAGTCCTCCATCTTATGGCTTCTTTCTGGAGCATTGCCTTTTCAGAGGTATTACCTTACTTCTGGATGTCTGGACCACTATTTGCAAGCCTGTTCGCTCAGTCTGAACACTGCTTTAACAAGTTCGGGTGCTGACGTTCCAAGTGCAAATCTATACAGGTAGGTGAGTAGTACTCTGACCACAGGAGCCTCCTAATCAATGACAGGATGGACCACTGGTCTCTTAAGTAGTTTTAATCAGCAGCTTAAAACTACTGGGCTCAGTATAGCACACATGCTTAGCAGTGAACCATAACACCACAGGACACATATAACCACGGCAGCTGCCAAAGTGGCAGGTCCATGACTACCCTGAGAAAACTCAGTGAGCTGGTAAGCAAGATCACATTTATTAATATATCTTATTTCAAGTTTTGTTTTTTTCTTAAGGGCAAAAACATCTAGCTTCTCATTTGTGTCTTTTCAAAGTAGAATAAGGTGGCACCGCATAGGAGAGGTCAAGACCACACCCTCACCAATCCCCCCCCAAAGCTGATTAGTCCACTTGTGAGTCTGAGCCCAGCTTTTAGAGCTTGATGAGCAACAGCTAACTGGATATTTCGTGTCAGCACTGCCTGTGATAATTAATTACAGGATCTGGCTCACAAGGCTCAACTTGTATCACAAGTTCTACAAGAATACTGGTTAATACTGATTTGGCTCTGCTTGGCTAAATTTATGTATCATCCAACCAAATTCAGTTGTTTAAAAGCTCTCAATCTTCCAAGTAGCGTCACTGTGCGGATAAACTTTTGGATGGAGAGTCGCCGACTGACCGTGTTTTTTAACCACACTCTTGGAATGTCGCTTAAGTATTTTAATCACTATGGTGTTAACTCTGCCCATGATACATCGCCAATAATTTCAGTGGGCCATTAAATAATTTACGTTTGTCAAATGCCTTTTGCCATATAAAAGTTTTAAATTTTTATGAAACGAAAGGGCATTATTTCTCAAGATCTTTGATTTTTCCTGACTTAGATAGAGTCAAAAGTTTCCAAGGCAGGCAATTTCTTTAAATGAAGACAATTTGATTTTGGTTCCTCTAAAACCTTGCCTGATCCAAATCTCTTTATTGAAAGCACTTACTTTATTTATAGAGTATGTGTTTATTAAAAAGTTGAATAACTATGCAAGCAGAGTTTCTAAGTAGACGCTCTAATAAATTCTAAAATGCGTCTGTACACTAAGAAAAATTTGATCCCTAAAACCTCTCCAATCTATGCTCAATGAAAACAGCAAACAAAAGGCCTCAATGTTAGTAGAAAACCAAGTTCTTCAAAGCAGGTAAAACTCCGGTTTACTCCTAGAAAGCAGAGGAAAAAGTTTTCAGATTATAAGTGACAGAGCTGCCCTTGTGTAACAGAACAATAGTGATAAGGCTTTACTTCTTAATGGGTCTCAATTACGAAGAGCGTGAAAGAGTTCTGAAGACGAACAAAAAGCTTTAGCTTTGACGCGAACAATTATATCAATCCTTAACCAAACCGAAGATTGATTTTTAGAACGCTGCCTAACCTTTCATGATCCGTGACAACACGTCAAATGAGCAGAGGTACAAAGTACGCGTGCGATCTCCAAATGCCACGCTCGAGCCAACAGCAGTTGCTCGCATGCGTCGTGTCAAGGCGCGACCAAAGAAGCCTGTGGGGAACATGAGCGTTTCTGTGCATCCAGGGCATTCTCCCGTCTCCTGCGGGCTGCTCGCTGAATCACGCCCGTCCAGCTCGAGAGCGCCCGCTCCGGCTCACCCGCGGGCAGGGCCGCGGAGCCAGCAGAACCATTGTCTGGCGATGGGGGTTTCGGGGCGCGGTGCCCGTGAAAACCGCAGGCAGAGGGAACTGTGGTCTGACTCTCGGCAAAAGGAGCCCGGGCCGGGACTGCGGCTCGGTGCCAGCCCCGCGGGCACTGCGTGCTGAGCCGAGGCCAGCTTCAGGCCTGCTCTGGTGACGAGGCTGTCCTCATCCCTCTGGGGTTTTAGTGAGGCGGTTGAGAGTCTCCTCCCGCTCCCGGCCTCCCCTCCAGCTCCCAGTCTCCCTCCCGCACCCTTCTCGGACCTCTACGCCCCACCCCCGCCGGCCAGCTCTCCGACGGCGGCGGCCGCCATTCACCAACCGGCTCACGCCGGTAGCCGCCGCCGCGCCGCGACGTCCCCGGGGCCGAACTTCCGCCCCTGTCGCCGGCGCTCGGCCTAGAGCCTGGCTGCGATTGGTCACCGGTGCGCGCACGTCACGCCACGTATATGACGCAAGGGCGCTGCGGCGCGCACATTGGCTGCCTGGGCTGCGGGCGGCGAGGCTGCGCGCTCTTCCCCGGGCCGCTCACTGCAGAACCGACTCCGGTGCCGCCGCCGCCCGCGAAGCCGCCGCCGCCGCACGACGCCCGCCACCGCCTCTGCCCCGCCGCCGCCGCCGCCTCCGCCTCGGGACCGGCTGTATGGTTAGGCCACAATCTTCAATGAGTAGACATATTCCTGTGAGTACGCACGCCCCGCGCCGCCGCCTTTGTTAGCAGCCCGGCGCCCGCCCGATTCCCTGCCCGAGGCCCGGCGGCGGGCGGGGCGCCCGGCGGCACAGAAGCCGCTTTGTGACTGTCGCCGGACCTGACGTCCGGCAGGCCGGTCGGCGCCCCAGGCCCCTTTGTTTGCCGCGGGGCCCGGCAGCGGAGACGTGGCCCGGGCGGGGCGCGGGCTGCGCGTCAGTGCTGCGGGCGCGCCCCCGGACCCGGCGGGCGGGCGAAGCGGCGCTCGCGGACCGGGCCGGGACGCCGGCTCGGGCCGGCGGGACTGGGCCTGTGCGGCCATCCTGCGCTCCGCGGCCGCGACCGGCGCTCGGACAAAATGGCCTCGGCGCCGGCGCCGGACTGAAGGCGCGGCGCGGACCCGTGATCCAGGCCGCGCGGCCCCGCCAGGTGAGCCGCCCGCCCCGCCCGGGCGGCGGGAGCAAGTCCGGGCTTGTCGCCGCCCCGGAGCGGGGCGGGCCAGCCGGCGAGGAGCGGCCAGCCTTAGAGCCGTGGGAGCGGCTGGCACGCTCCGCTCCGACCCCGAGCGACTCACGGAGCTCTGTAATCTGGGCCCTTCGGGTTGTTCTTGAAACTCGTGTTGTTGCCTCTGGCCAGTTTGTGGTACCATGGCCAACCAGACCACAATGAGGTTGAGCTCCCGCCCGTGGAACTCTCTAGTATTACACGAGTACAAAGGTGTTTGCACAGTGGTCTGGCACCGTTGATTTCTTGAGATCCAGATTATGAGCCTTCTTTTTTTGGCCTTAAGGAGATCCTTGTGGGATCTTAGTTTCCCGATCAGGGGTTGAACCCTTGGCAGTGAGAGCGCAGAGCTTCCCTGGTAACTCAGCTAGTAAAGAATCCTCCTGCAACGCGGATCCTCAGTTTGATTCCCGGGTCGGGAAGATCCCCTGGAGAAGGATAGGTTACCCACTCCAGTATTTTCTGGCTTCCCTGGTGGCTTGGACTGTAAAGAATCCGCCTGCAATGCGGGAGACCTGTGTTGGGAAGTTCCCCTGGAGGTGGAGGGCATGGCAACCCACTCCGGTGTTTTTGCTTGGAGAATCCCCATGGACAGAGGAACATGGCTGGCAAATGGTCCTTGGGGTCGCAAAGAGTCGGACACAACAGAGCGGCTAAACACACAGCACAGTGAGAGCGCGTAGCCCTAACCACTGAACCGTTAGGAAATTCCCATCCTGTGACCCTTTTTATATGAATTTTTGTGTGATGGCAGTGAAAAAATTGAAGGCAGGAATGCTAGATCATTTTCAGGAGTAAGCAGCATTTTATACATGGATTATTCCAGGGGCATTATATAAAGTGTAAGTTGTGGAACAAATTCTCCAATTAACCATTTGTCAAATAGTTACAGAGAGATATTGCTTTGACTCTGCAATATGACAAATTTCTGCGCAGACATTGCCGCCATTTCTTTCTGTGATTTCTCCTTAAATAGCCTACTTGGAAAAGATATGGCCAGACTCAGCAGTAATGGGAATTTTAGCTCTTAAATATGGAAATCAGTGGTGTGCAATACTGTCTCTATAAAACAGCTTTCAATTGAAAGAGGGTAGCACTTGGAGATCAGAATACTGAGATAAGAGCCCTTGACCTTAACGGCTTTGCAGATTACTTTCATTCACTGTCATTGGAAAGGTGCCAGAATAAACTGTTCATTCTAAGGAAGTAGTATAAAGATTTTATTAGGTAATTTATCCCCGAGAATACCTGTAAAGTGTTTGAGGCGGTGACTGGCTCTTAGTCCTCTTGTTAACCTGTTACTAATATTTTTTCAGTCCTGTTTACTTTCCACCACACAAGTTCCTTATAAACCACTTGGAAGAAGATTAATGTCAACATCAGTGCTTTTCCTATGTATATTCTGAAAATATGTTGTGAACATTCATATTATGTTTGATGCTAGCATAAAATTCATTTAGGTCTTTAAGGGGAACTTGGGAAAAGTATAATTGGTAACAGTTAACTTGCTTTTTGAGACTTATGGACAAAATGTAAGGTGATTCACACCACCCCACTGCCAGTTCCCCTTGATTACCACCCCAGGAAGTGGCAACACACACTGGTATTCTTGTCTGTAAAATCACATGGAGAGAGGAGCCTGATGGACTAGTCAGTGGGGCTGCAGAGTCAGACACAATTTAGTGACTAAACAACACTTTTCTTTGGATTGGTGTCAGTTTAAGACGGGGTTAGTGAAATTTTTAATTTTTAATTTTAAAATACAAGAGTATTGCAGTTATGAACATCTTTTTTATAGTTATAAATGGAAGTTGTATGTATGTGTATGTAGTGTGCTTATATTTCAACTTCCAGAGACTCTGATGAGGGGTAACTGTTAACGGGAAACACTAAGTTAATAGGTTGTGAAGGAATGAATGGGACAGTATATATGGTAGCATTTTGAAAACCAGTTTCTTTTCTTCTCTTAATGTATTGACCAATATAGTGAATTTTTGTAATATGTAAAAACATTTTGGCAGTTGGAAAAATCAATATAGAAAGTTGTGCACAATAGTTTATAACAGTGTAAAGCAAATAGCCAAGTATTAAAAGAAGTAGTTAATAGAAGAATGTATATAAGGAATATTCACCAACTGTAACCTTGATACTCTTTGAGCGGTATTTGTATTAGATCAGTAATTTCAATTTAAAGTAATCTTTGCTTATTGACTGAATCTGTAGTCACCCTTGTATTTTTGTAGTTCAAGTGAAAGTTAAAAAGTTAGCTTGGGCCTGAATTTGAAAAGATAGCTATGCACTTAAATAATGTAAAAACATAACATGTTCCTTTTGAATTGAAAACAACGTTTTCTCTCTTTTAAACAGCAGTTCTGTGGTGTTCTCGGTCACACATTTATGGAGTTTCTGAAGGGCAGTGGAGATTACTGCCAGGCACAGCACGACCTCTATGCAGACAAGTGAACTGCAGAGATTCCTTACTGCTCAACCAAGAAGCCCCCGTAAGACTGGTTAACCTGGACACAGAAGTGTTGAATTGAAATCCACAGAGCATTTTTTTACAAGAGTTCTGATCTGGATGGGGTAAACCTCAGTGCACTTCCTTTCTATTGCCTCAGTATTACTGGATTGAAGAATTGCTGCTTCTTGTTAAGAGGTTCATTCATTCTTTACTCCCAACTTCATACTTAAAAGCACTGAGAATTTCAAGTGGAGTATATTGAAGTTTGACTGCGTTTCTTTGCATCATTTCTGTATTCAATTTTTTAAATTCTTTCATATCCCTATTGAGTGTTTCTTTTAACTAAATTAACATGGCTCGAATGAACCGCCCAGCTCCTGTGGAAGTTACGTACAGGAACATGAGATTTCTTATTACACACAACCCAACTAATGCAACGTTAAGCAAATTTATAGAGGTAAGTTTTGATGCTTTTTAATACCTTAAACTGATTGTAGTTTAATAGTGGAGCTTTTACATAATAGTATTTTGAAAATTGTGAGGTGGTCGATGATTATAGCTTCAGCTCCCAGAAATATCAGTCTTCTCTAGGTTAGAGGTGAATTATTGTATACGTTTTTGAGAAGGCCATGTACTTGAAATAGATTAGGTTATAAATTAATATCTAATTCTTCATGCCTCACAGTTTTCTTAATTTAAATTTATATGTGGACTGTTACCTGTGGCTGTTGCTCATAAAGTTGTTGGAAGGAGGCCCACTTTGTGGGTTTTTTACATTTTCTAAGCATAATGGCTGACAGTTATAAACCAAAGTTGGTTTATGTCTTGGCCCTCTTTTGACACTTAGGATACAATTTTCAGCTACTGATTTAATTCTGTTTCTGGTGGTTGCTTGATAGTCAAAACTGTCTCACTGCTTAACCTCTTTTGAATGTCAGAAAGGATTGTAATGCTGAATAATTCATTTGTATGCATATATGCATTTTATTTTATAAATATCTAATCAGAAATAAAAAATAGGCCTCCCAGATCATAGAAGTACTTTTAAATTTTATTATCTATATATTTTTTTAAATGCCAAGTGTTATAATTAGTAATAATACATTGAGTTTTAACACCTGTAATCTTAAATGGTGGGAGGTTTAACACTGCATTTTTGAGATTTTAGATTCTTTAAATATATTTTTAAGGCTCTAAACTATACACTGTATGCTGCAAATGAGAAGAAGTTTAAAGAATTAATATATGTCAAGTCAGATGACTTTGTCATGAGTGATTGCTTTGGTTCCTCAGTGGCTTCTGATCCTCTTGTCAGTGCCTCAGCCAGCCAGCGTTGCCATGACTGTAAACAACTCCAGTACATGAAGGGTCATGGACTTTTTTTAACTTAAAATTTATTAAAAATATGTGGTTTAACATTCCTGTTCAGTACTATTTTAGTATAGTCATTTAAAGCAAAAGACTGCTTCTCTTTTAAACATATATGATTTTCTATTAACCAACAATACCTATTAGAGAGATGATCAAAATGACAAACTGAGCAAGAATAATGTGATTATTATCCCATCCTCTAGAGCCCATTAAAAATAAAAACAAAACAAAAGAATAACATTTGTATAAACCCTTCGCTGTTTACATGTTTTTATCCAGGAACTTAAGAAGTATGGAGTTACCACAATCGTAAGAGT